GAATTTGCCCCTGAACTTCTGCTTCTGTTTTTAAATATATATGTGTGTGTGTGTGTGTGTGTGTGTGTGTGTGTGTATTCTATGCCTTCTCCTCTCTGTCCTGTTGATTTTAACTGAGCAGCCAACCTGCTCTACGCAGCGGGGTCAGATCTGCCCAGGGAGTGGGGGGTTAATGCCCATCCGCTCTGCCCTTTCATGCACCAGGGCTGAGGTGCAATCAGTGGCACGCTATGGTTTACTTAACAGAAGTAGGTTAACCTGTGAATTTAGAGATACTGCCCCTCCTCCATACACCTCTCAGAACCAAAATCAGATTTTAAAAAACCCTTATTGCTCCATGCTCTGTGTTTCCTAGCGTTGAGCTGGGGCAGAAACATGACTATCCCTTCTCCTCCCTTACACTCCCAGCTGCAGCCTCTGATTTTGTGAAGGAGGAAAGAAAAAATCCAGATTCCTCCACCAATACCATTCATTTCTTCCTCTTCTGCAGCAGCTGACATGTCCCTGCAAGAAATACGAGCTGTCACTCATGTGGGAGGGTGCCAGCAGGCTCAGGCAGGGAGCTCCAGCCTCCTTCCGCATTTCTGCTCCAGCTCCAGTCCCTCCAGCTCCTGGCCTGGGCGCTGTGTGTGGTGCAATTGGGAGCTCCCAGAAAGGCAGCAGGCAGCCAGCTTCGCTCAGAGGCTGCAGCCAGGCTCTGTCTTGTGCTAAAACCCTTCTGACTGTATTAACATCAACCTCTCAGGGGGTTTCTTTTCCCACTCAGTCGCAGCTACAACTATTTCTGTGCAAGGTACGGCTTGGACCATGCACTACCAGGTACCTCCCACATCTCATGAGTTTCCCGTCCGTGTAGGGGATGTCCCAGTTTGGGGTCATGTAATAGCAGAGGAAGGAGGAGACCTTAGGCTTGCACCAGGGTTATTTTGACTGTGGGGACATCCAGGACAGCCGCAGAGCTGTGCTGCAGAGTATCCAGTGGTCTCTCATTCCCTCTCATGTATGAGGTGCAGCTCAGCAAGACTCAGTCAGCAGCAAATGGATCTGATGCTGGGCTGCAAAGAGACTACAACAGCCCTCAGCCTCACTGCTGGGCAACAGGAGACCTGTCAGTGGGCAAGGTGTTGAGAAATCTCATGTTTGCTGCTGCTGTTTCTGCCAGGACTTAGTCTCTGTGGGGCTGCTGCATTGGACAGGGTATGTGCTGGCTGGTCCCGGTGTGCTGCAGCTCCTACAGGTCTGGAACACATTTGGGCAGACCCAGCCTGTGTCACACCATCTCTGCACTGGGGCATCAAACAGACATGGGAGTCTTGGGTTCCTCAGAAGCAAGAACAAGCCACAGTCCTCCAATTCACTTATCTCTTCAGCAAAACAATCCAGCAGCGGTTTAAGTCACGGAATCAGCTGAGAGCCTCTATAGTGCCGTCTCCTACCACTTTAGGACCCATTTCTGCTGAGCTCCAGATGCTTCAGCTCTCCATGAAAGCCTCCTGCTTGGTTTCAGGCACAGCTACAGAGCATGTCACTGTAGGTCTGGCATATTTCTGGGTGTTCAGAAAGGCAGATGGGTCCCTGCAAACCCACATCATCTTCTGCCTTCACCCTTTCTTTGCCTGTAAAGCTAACTCAAATACTGCAGTGCAGGCCCAGGGCTTACCCCAAATACCTCCATAACACTGAGTAACCCTACAATAACAAAGCAGTATGCATTCAGTGGTGTTTACCTGGAATGTTTTTGGGGTTTTCTAGTATGGCATTGTTCTGGATGCTGGCCCATCCCGCACTGTCTTGTTCATCTACCAGTGGACCACCACCAAGGCAAACAAGACCGGGGTGATCAGGGAATGCAGTTCCTGTCCTGTGCAAGGTAAGGTGCCCAATTCATGCTTAGTGGACTGGCATGGGAGGGATGGAAACCCAGAGATCTGCGCATGGACCACTGCCACAATTTCCTTGGCTCCTGTGTCATCCAGCTGTATGCTGAAAGAATGGCAGTAGCGAAGCACAAGCTGCTTATTTTCAGCCTGTGTCTTCTTGACATAGGCAGGTTCAGCCATATGCAGCTGAACATCAGAGCACTTGGCAGTAGCAGGTGACAGGTTTTTTGGGAAGCACACAGAGAGGATGGGGCTGGTTCTGATGTCCACATGGATCAGTGGCAGAGCCAAGGTTGCTGAGCTGCTGACCCAGCCAAGGCAGTGAACAGCAATGGAGACAAATCTGGCTGTAGGGTGACTCCTGGTACCTTCTGCCTCCTCTTGGCTGTACTCTGGGCACTAAGTGGTGCAGCTGCAGGACAACAGAGATGCAAAGATCCCCATACATGGAGTTTGACAGCACATGCATGAGCTCAACTTGGTTTTAGATGTCACAATTTGGAGAATATTGGGGTCTTCCTTATTAGTTTGAATCAGTTTGGCCCTGCCAAAGCCAGCTGAAAGGGTTTCATGCAGTAACACTTGGGGTTTTCCTTCCCTATCTCTTAATCGTGCTTTGATGTTGAAGTCTGATTAGAGCATGATGCTGGGAAACCCTTGAACTCTCACTAGCAGTGCGCAGTGGGAGGGCAGCTGCACAACAAGGGAAGAGGATTTGTGCCCTCGCAGGCTGTAAGCAATACAAGCCACATGCAGAAAATGCAAGAAAGGCTCCCTGAAGCCTTGTGTGAGTCCTTTAACTGCTGTCAGGTACACTGCTTGGGTTAAAAACAGCAACCGTAGCTCAGTGCTTGAAGACTTCTTTGAACCTGCTTCTGTGCCAGCAGCAACAGGAGGTCCACGCAGGTCTCCCTCCCAGATGTAAGCAGTCATCCTTGGTCTGCACAGCAGCACAATCACAGCCTTTGAGCAGCTGTAGGCAAGCTGCAGCTCAGCCCTGTAGAGGACCCAGGAGAGCAAAGC